CCCCAGCCACGCCCATGTCCTCTACCTGCCACGCCCATGTCACGCCTACACCCTTTACCTACCAGGCCTACACCCTCCCCCGCCACGCCCACGCCCTCCCCAGCCACGCCCACCGAAGGGGGGGGTCAGCGCTTCGCAGACAGGAGCGCAGAAGAGAGGCTGGGTCCCGGGACAGGTCTGGGCCTTCCTCCTGCCACCTAGTGCAGCCCCAGCCCTGCGCAGACCCAGGTGGGCACCAGTGACATGTGAGGAGGGAATCAGCCCCAGGCCAGGGCACCAACTGAATGCTCTTTGGCTGTGACACCCCTGTCCTTGGCCCCAAGTCCTACCACTGAGGACTGCCTTCAGGACTCCAAGTCACCATCTGAAGATGAGCCCCAGCACATCAGCCCCACACCTCCATGCTCCGTCCACCTCCAGGGCCTGGCAAAGAAGAGCACACACAAGGCAGGTCCACTCCAGACTGTCTCCATAGAGTCACAGAGACAGAGCCAGGCACAGGGCACAGGCTCCCAACACAAGGAAGGAGAAGGGGTGAAACACACTCATGCAAATTCTGAAGAGTTCCACAAAACTGCAACCTCAGAGTTTCATTATTAGGCTAAGCTTCTTAGTATAGAAATCCCCAGACTCTCCCCCTGGGCAGCTAATTGAGTTAGACTTCTCAGGCTCCGCCCCTCATCCCAGGCAATGCGGAATCCCTTGCTGGATGTGATAATGTGATCTTGGGGCGCCTGTTCAAATCAGGTGGGGGACTGGCTGGGGATGGCGTCACACCCATGGCTAATCCCCCGTGGATGCACCACTTACACAACACAGCATCACCTTGTGTTATCGCTATCAGGACAAGGCAGTAAGGTGGGGGACAGAGCAGAGCATCTTTTTTCTTACTAAATAGAAGTAGGTCATCAAACAATACCTCTCTCTAAAAAGACCAGAAAATGAATATTGAAATTCAAGTGACCTAGAACAGTCTGGGACTGGAAATAGGAGAGGCTGCCGTGGACAAGAATACTCAGGAATCGGAGATACTGGTCAGGCTGGAGTCGCACAGCCAAGCGGGCACAGGACCCCCAGCCGCCAGCCATGAGCACTGATGAAGCAATGGCCGGCCACCTATGAACAAAGCTTCTGTATGACCCACCTGGTCGCTGTGGGAGGCCATCATAGGTCCTCCTTAATCACAGTGGCCCTGTGCATGGCCCTCACCCTGCCCAAGGCCTGCATTTCCAGTCCAAGCCAAGGGCTGGGCTCACCCACTGATCTTGATTGTAAACTTTGCAGGTAAAACCCCCAGTGTGCTCTCAAACGACTGGGTGGAAAACACTAACCACAGCGCCAGATAACTGTTCCTAAATTGTGTGGGCTTTAAAAGATAAAAACTCAGGCTCTGCTTTCTAGAAAGCTGGGCCATCCACCTGCATGAGTCTGGGTGCCGGCAGGTGGGGGCTTCAGGTTGCTGGGGTAACCCCCAGGCCAAGACCCAGACTGAGGCTGGAAGGGACCCCCTGTCACACCACGGTGTGGTCTTGCTCTTCTGCAGGAAGGCCACTAAGGAGTTCAGGGAAATCCAGGGATAAGATGCTTCTCCACCGGGTCCTCCAGCTCAGCAGGGGCTTGAGCCAGTGGCCAGGTCTCCACGTCCAGGAGCCTGTGCCTCACACTGCCCAGGACCTGGTTCATAGCGGCTAAGGTGCCCAGAGGGCCCATGGAGAGATACCGGAGTTCAGGAAAAATGCAGCAGCGGCCACGTGTCCGCCTTGGGCTGCCCACCGGGTGCAGGGGCCAGCTTCCATTTCCCACAGGACCAGCTCTTGCCCAGAGACCTAGGCTCCCAGAGGACTGATAGCAACAGGGACAGGCACAGGGGGCGAAATGCAGAGAGGCCACCGCGGTGGCCAGGAGGTGGAGCTCCGGTTCTCCACTCCAGGGACCTCAGGGCGCCCAGGCGCCCACCAGCAAGAGCGCGGGGGACCTGCGTCCTCCCGCCGGCTTCCCTCGGGACCGGCTCAGAACCAGGGCTCAGGCCCAGCTCGCCCTGCCCCTCGGGTACCAGCCACCGAGTGCCGCCCACAGGTGCGGAGCCCCGGGGTCTCGGAGCGGCAGACCTGAACCCCGAAATCAGAAGCGGACGCTGCCCCGCCCGGGCCGCAAGCCTGACTTCAGAGGCCACTTCCAACTTGGGGGAGCGTGTGGACAGCAGCCCACGGACACCGCGGCTCCCGGAACGCGCCCGCGGAAGGCGCAGCCGCTGCTGGGGACAGTGCCAAAGCACAGGGGACAGCGCCAGAGCGCGGGGGAACAGCCCCACAGCAGGGGTCCAGAGCACAGGGGACAGCACTAGAGCGCGAGGGACAGCGTTAGAGCGCGGGGGACAGCCCCACAGCACGGGGTCCAGAGCCCTCCCGCAGCTGCGCGCCCCTCCTCTCCCCTCCAGCCCCTCTTACCGGGCTAGAGCCGAGGCCAGGTCGCGAGGCCCCGTCGCAGGCGCGTCGGGATGGCCGGTCACCTCCGCTGGCTGGCCAAGAAGACGCCGTCTCCGCGTTTGAGGGAATCCCGAAGCCACCGCGGCAGGAGCAGCGACTGCAGAGCTGTGACGCTTGGCCGGACCTCAGAGTCCACGACAGGTGCGCCCCGACCGTTAGGCTGGGCGGAGTCCGGCTGAGCGCCGCAGGGAGGGGCCGGCGGCGGGCCGCGCTGATTGGACGAGCGCTCTGCCCCCGCCCCAGCAGCCCGTGGTCCACGTGGCCGCCCGCGTGGCCCCGCCCCGCAGGTGCAGGTAGGAACGTGCGCTTGCTCGTGGTCCTCGTGCTCCTGGTGCACACCTGATACCTCAAGCCCCCACGGGAGGAGGGGTTTAAGGCGTGGCCAGCGGTGGAAAGCAACGCCCCCTCCCGCCCGCACAGACGTCAAGCAGGATTCCTTGACCACCCCTCTCTTAGCCTACCGGAAACTAACCAAGTTCTTGCGAAGTTTGCATATTTGGGAAAGAAGACACAGCAGGCATATCAATAACCCAATTCTCTCCTCCTTTAAAAATCCTAAAACTCTGTTTAATGTGACTCTTTTCCTCATGCTCTTCCTCCCTGCTCAGTTCTTAGTTGCTCTCCTTAAATCAAAGAAGACATTTGGCATTTGTTTTTTAAGGATTGGCTAGCTTCGCTTAGCGTTATCTGCGAGTGGTGGGAGGGAAAGGGAGAGAGAAGGGAAATTGCAGGGACACGGAAGGAAACCCTGAACGTTATACTAAATCACACATAAGAGGTTGTGAGGGGAAAGGGGGCGCAAGGGAGAGAACTGAACAACAGCAGATGGGGTAGAGAGGGAGGAGGGGAGGGGAGGAGAGGGGGATAGTAGGGGATAGGAAAGGCAGCAGAATACAACAGTCACTAATATGGCATCATGTAAAAATGTAACTGATGTGATTCTGCAATTTGTATTTGGGTAAAAATGGGAGTTCATTGAATAGACTCACTTGAATCTAATGTATGAAAGATGATATGTCATGAGCTTTATAATGTTGTGAACAACCAATAAAAAAAAATTCTAAAACTACAGTTATAAGGCTTTGACTCCCTGCCCGCCCCCCAACCATATCAAATCCCCTTCCCTCTCCTCTCCTACGAGGGAAGAACTTAAATAATGCTCCCTTTACAGAGACTTCCTCATCTGATCGCCACTTTACAGATAAAAGAAAAAATGAGGCATTGGGAGGTTAATTAACTCGCCAGTGACTGTAAAGTTAACTAGTGATAAAGCTCACGTCTGACCCAGCATGTCTGGTTGGAGAATCTGTCTCTTTGGTACTGAGAGCATGGGCCAGCAGAATCCTCCCAAGACCATGTTAGAACTGAGACTTTAGGCCCCCACCAGAACCAGAATCTTCCATTTCACAAGATGCCCAAATGCTTGGTATAGGCAAAAAGTTTGAAAAGCACTGCCCTCGGGGCTGGGGTGGAGCTCAGTGGGGCAGCTTTGCCCCCATGCCTGAGGCCCTGTCTTGAGTCCCAGGACTACAGAGACAGACAGACAGACAGACAGAAGCAGGGCTCCAAGCTATACCACTGAAGCCGGACTTAGGCAGTCGTATAGACAGGTGAATCAAGTCAGGTCAGATCCAGGAGGCCAACTTGGAGTGGGTCCAGGAAGTTGGAGACTGTCCCCTGGGGGACTGAAATGTCAATTCCTTCACCCTGATCAAGAACCTGCCCCTGCTCCAACCTGTGGCTAACATCACCTGTCCCAGGACTTGCCCCTCCCTACAGGAAGCTCTAAGGTTGTTAATTAATGTGTCCTGGGCTACTCCATCCTGCCCTTCCCCC